CTACTAGCCACAGAGATGAATGAAATTAATTGGTTTTAATTAGCCTGTGTAAACAAGATCCTTAAATTTGTTGCCACATGAGGGTTTTGGCAGTCTCCAATAAATTAATCCTTTTTATTATATCAATGACAAGGAGATGATCAAATAGGCTTTGATATAGATTTTGGGATTTATCACCTAGTAGCACTCTGATATGCTTGAACTTTTTTTCCTGCTGCTGCTGCTGGAGGCAAGAATGAGGCTACAAACAGCATTTGCTTCCGAGCTGCTCGCAGGCGAAACGGGGGATTTGGCGACAAATGGATGGGGGACACCAGGGAAACTTTGAAGAAAAGTTTGTCTTTGGGATTTGTTGGGAAAGTAGAGTTTTCAGTGGGTAGAGTCATGCAGGGAGAGATGTGGGGGCAAGGGAGATCCTGTAACGAGGCATAGCAATTAGCATGTTGTGTCAGCATGTCCTGCAGCCAGAGGCTGAGCTAAACCAGCAGCACCATCCCTGGCTTCACCTCCAACACTGGGCGTTTGGTGCCTTTGTCCAGCCGTTCCTGCCGGCGAGCAGGGGACAGCGGAGGGGAGCACGGGCCCCGGCAATCCCCGGGGCATGGAGGGCTGGGGGCTGTGAGGCTGTGTCCAGCCGGAGCCGGCTGTCCCAGCCATGCATAGCTGGCGTTGGCAAATGTCCCTTTGCCGGCCGACACCGGGTGTCCAGTCGTCCCCACTGTCCCTTCAGAGAGCGCAGCATGTGTAGATGAGGGCAGGATGGGGCTGGTGGGCTGTGCTAAGAGTGGCGTGGTCACCCGCATGGCCTCGGCGAGGGCAGCAGGAGCCTGTCAGCTGCCATGTCGTGGCACCAGCAGCTACACCAAGACCTCCCAGTCTCAGCCTGCGCCTCTTTCTCTCGGCACTGGCTCCCCATTAGCCTGGTCTGTGCACATCATTCCTCCCACCGTGCTAAGCCCGGGGGAATGGGCTTCACCGGTGCTGCGGGACACCTCGGCAGGGCTGGTGTCTGCAGCAGATTTGCTCTGGCATGTCACAGCTGATTTCCCAGCGACTGCTAGGACGCAGCCCAGCACCTACGGCTCAGCTGTCAGCAAAGGTTTTAAATGCCGGTACCATCCTTCCCTGTCACCCGTTGCAGGAAGGTTGAGCAGCTTTGTACTTCAGGTGCATGTGGAAAATAAATCCAGTGGCAGACTGGCTGCCCGGGGTGCCCAGCGTGCCCGCAGGAGGCGAGCAGCACCCACGTCCACCTGGAAAGCCCGGGAGACCAATTTAGCAGCCGTGCTGTCCCCGACGTCCCCTCCCCACCGCAGGCGTGATGGCCAGGGAGCTGCTGCACACAAACCCTCCTGCTCTCCGCCACCAAGGGAAGGATAACTGGATGGGAATTCTAATCATATATTATATTACCGTGTCATATTAGACTAATAAAATCCTAATATGATACAGGAATGGGGAGCATATCATAACTCCTCTGTGGCTAATACAATGCATGCAATAAATCACTCCCAGGGCTTATCCTTAACAATTGTATCAGTGCTTTCTGTGTCATGCTGATAACTCAGTCCCTCTGATCTAATGGTTCACTTTTCTTCACAGTCCATATGGCAGTGACATTAAAGCTAATGAAATAAAATAAAATTTGCCAATCTTTGAAGAATTCCATTCTTTAAAAAGATGTATTTTATTAACACAAACTGGAAACATCTTCAGTTACTCGGAGTTATTTTTATCACATTGGAAATACATGGCACAGACAGTGCCATCAGCATCTTACATCCAACTCGCGTGTGGTCTTTGCAAAAGACATTGCTACAGGATAATACCGCGTCGCTCAGCCTAGCACACTTAATGCCAAGTTCGCATCGTCAGCAAAGCTGCCCCCACTGAACCAGTCCCACGGGGCATGGATTTTGCCATGCCGGAAGGTCACAGTCTTCCCGACTTTTCCCTTCTTGGGCTGAGGTTCCTTCGTTGCACCCAAGGCCAGATACACCGGGCCAAGAGCTTGGTGTCTGAGTGCCAGGGGGAGGAGATCATCATCTGCTTCGCTTTGGCACAGGAAGGTTTGCGTTTCTTCGTGGGGCTGGGAGAGGGCTGCAGGGCTCCTCCTGTAGCTCTGCAAGTTGTAACCTGGGGTGGGTCTGCCAGAGTGCCGGGCACCGTTTCCCCCTGCTGCAGGGCTTCTCACGACCCTTCCTGCAGGGCACCCCGGCCACCGGCAGCTCCTCGGTGCAGGTCGGACGGAGCTGGGGCTGGTCCCAGAAGTCTCTGTTCCAGCTGTGCACAGGGGAGCACCGTGGGTCTCTTCTCCAGACACCCTCACGCCGGTCACAGCCCCATGATGCACAGCGTGGCGATGATGGTGGCCAGGGCCTTCGTCAGGACGGTGCTGGGCACAGGAGATGGCAATTTTTGGGACCTGCTGCAAATCCCCTGGCTGGTCCCGCTGTGCTCTGTACGGGGTCTCCGGGCTGGCAGGAGCCATGGCCATGGGCCACAGGGCTGGTGGGCTTTGCTCCTCCACCACCACAGTGCACGGGCCTGCCGCGGCTCTGGTCGCAGCGACACTCATGTGCACCACCAGCTCAAACCTGGGTGTGGGGAATCAGGATCGCATCACTGAGCAGTCCCACCGGTGGGAGGGCTGAGGGTCTCCTCCCATGCCAGGATGAGCGCACGCTGCTGCGGCAGAGGTCCTGCATGGCTGCGGGGCTGCGGCCCCCGAGAGGGGTGCGTGTGCGGAGCAGGGATCCTTGCACGAGTCACTGTTCCTGCGCAAGGCTCTGTCGGCCCTTCAGGATGTAGCTACTGGGTGAAACACAATACCATCAACAGCATGATCCTAATACTGGTGCTTGCAGTAAACCTTTCTGATGTGTGATCAAGCCTCAAGGATAAGATGTTTATTATTTGCCATGTAACCACGTGGCTGTTCTCCAATGTAAGGAAAGGCCAAATTGCACTTGTAATTCAAAGGGACCCAAAGCCTTAATGCTGTAAAGAAGCACGCTAATGATGCCCAGCGGGCGCAGGGCATGCAAGTGCGGCCCAAAGGTTGTTGATGGCCTTCCTATGAACCTCCTCAGTGTGTGACAGGTCCTTGCCTGTGGCCAGCGGAGATGTGATCAAGATGAGGGACGCCTGTGTGTTCATTACACTGCCTACGCCTCCACTGACACACTTTACATTTAAAATACTGTTTCCATTCAGCCGGAGCATAAACACAGAGCATGTGGACTTGGGGAGCTCCATTAGCAAATGCAAATCGTTCGGTGCTTTGTCCTCTGCATACAGAAGTCTTCAGAAGTCCACGGTCCCCATCTGCCCCAACTCTCGTTAAGTGATAATGAAGGCTTTGCAATGCACGTCTAGTTATTTACTTATTTATTTAAATGCACCACCTGTAGTGAAAGAAGCAATGTTCAACTCTAAAACTGATCAAGAAGTGGTGTCTGCTCCGTAAACATGAGCAGAAGCAGTAACTGGTGCACGAGGGCACGCAGGATGCGGAGGGAGAGGAGTGTGGCCGCAGTCCTGGGGGTGAGAGCGGGTAAACAAAGGTATTTCACAGAATAACCTGATACAAGAATTGTTGATAAGAAAAGCTGACCCACAAGCTAATTGAATCATGCAAATAATCGTTTAGTCACCAAAACAACACCTAAAGGTTTGAACAGCTGACTGGAAAGGAATCGCGACGGGCAGGCGGCTCCTCCGAGCGCAGCCTTAGCCCAGACTCCAGCTGAGCACGGGCTGGTAGTGAGCGCGAGCCCTCCTCCTGCCTAGCTACACTAACCCGAGTAGTAAGTAGTTATATTTATCAAAGACCATTTGCTGCAAGTGATTAACGTTAATTTGATTTCCTGTGAGTCAATTTCCTTGAGATATGGTAAATAGGCTATTACCTGTTATTGACCTTTACTTTATTAAAAAGATTTAAAATTAGCATTTATATATATACGTCCTTCCAAAAAAGTTTTTTTAATAAAGAAAAATATTTTTATAATCTGATTACACTTGCTAGCTGAGGCTGTAGTTCCAAAGTTAATGTTAAATAAAGATGGTAATTAAGAGTGAATATGATGATGATTTTTAAACTCATCTAAAGGGCAGACCCCTTCCTTCGCCTCCACTTGAATTTTTGCTCCCGCGCAGAGCCGGGTGGAAGCGGAGGCAGGGGCTGGCGAGGGCAGCCTGCGGGTAGGAAGCCTCTGCCCTGCAGGCACTGCTCCTGCTCCTGCTCCTGCTCCTGCTCCCTGCCAGGACGCACCTCTCCCAGGATTTCCAACCTTCTCCAGGCAAGAGGGCACCACGACCTACTGGTATTTAAGGAAATGCTCAGCTCCTGCTTCGTGACAGCTTGCACTTCTGGTAGCCTACTCATCTCCTAGGTCTGACTTAAACTGAGCAGGAAGAAATTACATCAACGTTTGATCATGAAAGCAAAAAGTTTATTCATGTTTGAAACTACATATAACTACCACGAGGAAGACTTTTCAATCCAGGGTGTAATCCAGTTAGAAAGTAACACGAAACGGTTTAATACATTAGAATCACTGCCACAAATTATTTTCATGACTCAATCAGTTTCAGAATCGCATACAATACAAAAGAGAGAAAGAAAGGGCCCCCTGTTACACAGGGAGAAATATACAGTACTGAATACTGAAGTCTGTATGCATTACAATTAGTTGTTGGTTTTTGCGTGGATTAGTAACAAGATGAAGAACATTCAAAATGTTTCTCAGTATTTACAACAGTTTCACTGTTTTGTGTTAAACCTAAGACCCCATGTTTCCACTTCCGCCTCTTTAAAAGTTGCCAACGCAACCCTGATTCTTTTAAAAGATTACAATGTACATTACATTTCATGGGGAAACAAAGAGTTAATTACAAGATGCAAAAAGATAAGAAAGACAAACTACAGCGTGAGTATCGTTCAGAGGTAGTAAGTGAGCACTCTAAGCTACAGAACATGTTGAAAGTCTATTGGTTTGTATGAGTTCGCATGAGGTAATAAAGCTGTGTTTGATTGGTGAGATGTATAAATACTCTTTTGCTACACTATGTACAACACTCCATATGATGGTGCTTTTTTCCTTTGCTTTTTTCCTTTGTTTGTTTGTCTGTGGTTTGCTGCCAGGAAGAGGTAACAAGTCTTGGCAGGCGTGTGCAGCACCTAGCTCGTACTGTAAAACCCCGGGTCTTGGCTTTCACAGAGATCAGCAGCAAGTGTCTTCATCTCCTAAGAACAACCTATGGCCGGTGTCGGAACACAGAGAGGAGACTCGGGGTCTGGGCAGTTTTAGCAAGAAAAGATGCTCCTGGTTCCCAATCTAATTTGTAAGACAATAGATCACAACAAAAATGTGACGAATAAGGATTCTTAAACACAACCATTGTTAACGAAAATAACCGAACAGCTCCTTTTATTCCAACTCTATAAGAGATATGAAAAGATTAAACACAATCAAAGTCTGCAATTCATTTCAACTTTCCATGGAAATATGCACAAAGTTAAATTCAGGTGAGGTGTCTCTTTGTGTCTGCTCTTGCTACTGAGGTTAAGCTTGTCCTGTACTTTTACCCTTAAGGCCAAGTAATTGGCAACTGTTAGACCAACATCGTTAAAACTGCTGACAATAAATTATGATAAAATAGTTACAGGGCTATAAACAATGCTAAATCTTGGCCTAATTGGATAAAGTGCTTTTTAACATTGTGTGTTTTAAGTATAAATACAAATGATTATGATACCTTTAAAAAACAGATTTACCAAGTTTTCTAATAAGACAAGGTTTTACAGTAAAGCTGTAGGTGGTTGGCTACAAAAAACTCTTTCCTTTTTCTCCTGTGACTCTGAATGCGCTAATCAAGGCATCTCAGCTCAGGGAAAAAGTGTTGCTAGGAGATTAGTTAGAGGTATCAGAGTGCACACTTCCCGGCCCTTCTGTAGGGGAAGTCACAGAAGATGGAGTAGTTGCGTCCTGCCAGCCTCCATTAGCCTGAAAAGGGAAAAACAATTCAATTGATACAATTACGCATATTAATTATACCGTACACTGAAAGTATCAGACTGGCAAGCCCGGGGTTTGGGAGGAGATGCTCTGGGAAGGAGATTTTCCTACACTCCCTCTGGCTGCAGAATTCGTGAAAGGAAAAGGCAGCAGGCGTTACGCGAGGGATGCTGAGAGCACGCTCTGCGGTAACGCCGAGCCTTCGGCGGAGAAGCAAGCCGAGAGACCAGGAGCCGTTTAGCCAGATGTGAGCTGCAATTAGGACTTTGGGATTTCTGCAAAGATCATCCGTGCTTTAATGAGGAACATCCCTTTAGCTGACACTTCAGCTTTTTCCCCCGAGAAGACAAGTCTGGGGCAACCCATGTTTAACCCCCTCATCTTCCCTCTCTTCCCAAAGTTCAGAATTGCCTTCCTCCGCCCTGCAGAGCCCTCCGCAGAGCCGCTCCACCCGGTGAGCCCGGGTCCCTGCAAATCCCATCCGCCAGCAGACAAACGCAGGGCTGCGAGGCGGAAAGGGACCGCTCGGATCGGTTTTCCAATTATCTCTAAACGCAGCCCCTATTTCGGAGGCCGCTCCGTGTCTCGCGCGCCGCCGGCCCTCACCGCGTCAGACCTGCCTCAGCCGGAGCAGCGCTCAGGAACAAATTTGCCTTATGTCTCAGCCGATCGAGGCAATTGCTGAAATCAATGTCTGATCAAATTTCTGCTGTGGCAGACAGCTTGTCGCTACATATTTTTATGTCAGTCAAGAAGAGGGAGGCGCGGGGCTCGTGAGTTGGGGGACGCTGAGTGGAAGTGACGGGGAGGCCTCTCCACACAGCCCGCGAGGGCCGCCCCGGCCCC